CATACAGAAGCCACCCCTGTAACCCCCCCGCTACCAAAACCTTGCCACGCAGACCCGTTACAGTTTGTTTACCTTGTTCGTCCTCTCTCTTCTCAACTGAAAGTGCCTTTGTTCCATCATAGCAAAAGGCCTTAATGCAATTCAACTGTAGCAATTCAGCGTTCTGCTTAATTTTTTTGACCTTGTTAACTATCTTGTCCATGGCTGTTACTTCACCCTGAAAAAAACCCAAACGTTTTTATAAAAAGCATAGGGATTAAATGGATTTGCAGTTCCTGATTTCCTCTCCCACCTCCATGAAGCTTAGTTTTCCCTACAGAATTTTGTTATTCTTAAATCCAGACTCCAGTAGTCCCTGTTCGCCCATGTTTTCTGTGATGCCCGCATAGGCTAGATGCTAGTCTGAAGCTGCGTGCTTTCTGATGGGCCCTAGCTGCCTGGCACAGTCACTCCCTAAGGGACCCTATAATGTCTGACTTCTGGCAAGTGGGATTTTTGTTTGTTTCTTTTTGTTTGTTTCGAACTGTTTTACTGGGTATTAAGTTAGGTAAAAATGTAATCATTTAAAAGAGCAAAAGTCTCAAATATATAGTAAAATACATCAACAGGTTTTTAATTTGTATGGAAATGGTAGGAAACATGATCACATAGAGCTCAGTCCTGAGGAAATGAGGCTCACAGCCATGCCTCTGGCATGCTCAGACTCATAACATACTGTTACACTTGCAGTAGTTGTCACTCAACTTACTTTGTGAAATACTGTAAATACTAGAATAAATTTAGAGGTGAGGGGAGGGGAATCACAATTACACATTATTCCTTTTAGGTAAGAATAAGATTTCTTTTTTCCTCTCCCGAAATAAATCAAAACAGACACACACCACTATCTGCTAGGTGAAATCTCTAAACACAAAGGAAACTAGCATCAATAAAATCCAGAATAGTAATCCTATCTTCAAAAAAAACCCCAAAGACCAGAAACCTCTACTAGACTTGCTATAGCAAATAGAACCTGCTGAGAAAACATGACAACTTTTTCTGACTTGGTGATGGCTCCCCAGAGGCTTATGGAAAGGTAACATGACTGAGATAGACAGTGTTAAAAAAAAAAAAAAAACACAACAAAAAAACCCAGACCTGCAGTAAAGATAAACTGTATGTCGTGTTAGCCAATATGCAGGTCTAGGACTGAGAAGTAAAAAAAAAAAGGATTTAAAAGGATTTATGTCATGCCAATGGTGTCCAGCCTTCAGCAACTGTGAGCCAAATCACCTCTTACAGGAACACTCAGTGACCACGTGCTCCTGCTGCTCCCTGTCACCATTCAACAACCTCTTGCACATGCACACTAACAACTGATTGTGCTTAAAAGTTAGGTCTGTTGCTAAACCAGGGGATTTGCTGCACATGTGCTGTACTGTGGATAGAAAGAGGTAAGTCCTCCTCCTGAAAGACTCTCAGAAAAAAGAACAAGGTGGAAGCCAGGTATCCAGAACAACTTCCTGAAAGACATCTGGAAGAAACAGTGGTCTGGACTGGGATTCAGATAATAATAAATTATCAAGCTTTAACTATTCCAAATTCCTATTTAAAAGCTCTTAACAATACAGAGTAATTTTATATTTTGATTACCTTGTCTGAAAACAGGTATACTAATTTTCTGACTGCTAAGTAAAGTGAGCTGTGCAAATGAACAGTGGTCAGCCTTTCTTCACTGAGACAGAAAATGCTCTTACCTGGTCATGCATTAATGTTGCAAGGTGGGTTGTTTTTCCTCCAGGTGCAGCACACATATCCAAAATTCTCTCTCCTGGTTGAGGGTTTAAAATATGGCTCACAACCACAGATGGCAAGTTCTATTGTAAAAACAAATATGGGAGAATTCAAACCTGTATTAAGGAGTGACAAACCTGTTGAAAAAAAAATCATTCAGCAGTAAAGATACCTATGGTAATGCTGTCAGTTACTTAACAGAAAACGAACTATTTGGATTATATAAAAGAGGCAGTATAGGTCAGAAGTCTTCAGTGGGTCCTTTTTCATTTAAAGCTATATATGAATGTCTATGACTGAAGTTTAGAGGTTCATAACTATGGACACTACACTGCTAAAAGTCAAAATAAAATAAGCTGATACTATCACAGAGCAGCTCTGTATCTTGCAAATATTTTATATTGACCTGTTTATTGGAACATTTACTATATGAACATACCGGTGTAGTATAGTATGAACAGTAAGATCAACAAGCAGGAGTTTAAACTTGCTGAATTAAGGTACCAAGAAGCTAAACTGCGCTATTAATTGTATAAACAGAACAGGTGAACTGAAGAGAAATAATGGGCAATAATTGTGCACAGTATTCCATCTTACACAATATGGAAATATTCTGAAAGATTCACTTCTAACTTGGTTAAACACAAAGGTATAAATAAAAACCTTCTCAAGTTGTCTTTATTACATGTTGTCTTTGGTTAGCACAGTTTCAAGTTCCATGCCTGTGTGTTCAAAAAAATGAACAATAATTCATCTCACACATGGCAAATTCAAGTCAAAAAAGCTGGGCCCAAAGGGTTGTGATTAGTGACACAAAGTTCAGCTGGAGGCCAGTCAACAGTAGTGAACCCCAGGGGTGGACACTGGCACCAATGTTGTCTAACCTCTTCCTTAGGGATCTGGATAACAGAACAGAGTGCACCCTAAACAAGTTTACAGAGGATACAAAGATAAACTGGAAGGTTGTGCTGGCATTCAGAGGGACCTTGACAGGCTGGAGAAACAGAGAAAGAGAAATCTCATGAAGCTCAACAAACAGAAGTGCTAACTCCTGCACGTGGTACACCCCATGCACCCATACAAGTGGGGGCTGGCTGGCTGGAAGGCAGCTTTGCAAAGAAGGCCCTGGATCCACCCGGATCCTGGTGGACAAGAAATTGAAGATGATGTAAATTCTCATGTGCACCAGTCTCATGAATAACCTGCCTCTGTAACAATTCTTGTTCCTTGAAAGCAAGTACTCTGATAAGCCAAATCAAGGAAGAAAAGGCCTCTCCTTTACTGCAGGCCATGAGACAATGTATTGCTTGATGAACTACCCTTTGCCCATACCAGAAGGCAGCATTGATATTGATTTAAAAACATTAAGATCAATTACAAACAGAATATATGCATAAAAATAACTCATCTGGTGGACTGACTCTTCTGATAGAAAGAAATAGTGATTAAGACAATTCACTATAATAAAGGACTTACCATCTGAGTGATAGTTACACAAATCAAATGTGGAGAAAACTTAGAATTTCAGACAGTACCTCTGAACAAGGGTTTATTTTAGATAAAATTACATTTGCATTAAAGATTAAAATAACTTCTTTTTTTTGAAGGTTGGACAGCTTGACATTTTGTTTTAAACTCTGCTTCCAAATCATTCCATTTATATAAAAAAAAAACCAATATCATTGTTGGCACACTGATTGTCTTAGAAATCTCATTGAGGTGTTCACCTCATCTTTCTAGGTCAGCAAACTGAAAGCAAGAATTTTCCCTGATCTAAGAAAACTAGGAAGTTCCATGATTTCATCATCCTACATTTCAACATAGCACAGGTAGCCAATTGTCATGTCTGAGTATTGCTTTTAATTACTTTTTTGTGGGGGAAAAGGAGTATAGGTATCACAAATATTAAAGATGCAAAAGGAAAAGCTAGCTTGAAGTAAGTTCAGAAATTTAAAAATAAAATTTAAAAAGTTATTCTTTGGAAGCTGTGCAGTTTTATGGTAAGAGGTAGTGACAGCTATGTCATTTTTCATGGTTATTTTGTTCGGGTGGATTTTTTTTCTTTAGGGCTAAAAAAGATACGGATTTTCTCTTAAAGTCAACCTAATATTTGGAGATTTTCCTGTTATCTACAGAAGGATGTACCCTGAAAGAGCCTCATATTTCAGAGTTCATAGGCAGATTCCAAAACCTAAAAGTTCCATGCAGAGTATCTGTGCTAAAAGAATTTCTAAGTTTATCAGTGGGTATCTCTTAAGCCACTTTGATTTCCCTTATCATATCTCAGACACAGTATGATTAAACCACCTACATGTAGATACAGACTTAATTCTAAACACTTTGTTTTCTTTAAATTCAAAGAGTGAATTAGGTGCCAAAATACCCAATGAATAGATAAAGTATTAATGTGTGCTTAGAGGTTATTCATTATTCTGCGAATAGTACAGACTTTTATTTTTGTAACAAACATACCTGTAAAAACAAATTACTAGGGAGCACATTGTCAAACGAAGGACTAAGGTAGACTGGCTCTATCATTCTTATGCCCATGCCACTGAAAAACATGAAAAAAGGTATTTCAACTACTCAGATTTGTAATTTTTAACAGTATTCAATTAAAATCATTATGCTTACAAATAGCAACTTGAAACAGTGATCTTACAAAAATTAAAGCACTTACAAATCAACTAAGAAAAATACTTTCACGATTTTATAATCCGATATTCTTTGAAATTACATCATTAATAAACCATAACAAAAATGTACTATTAGTAAACCACAACATAAAATGTACTACATTATAAATTGGAACAATCTGTAAAAATTGCATAAAGCAAATGTATCTTTTTTTTGTTCACAGTTCAAGCTGAGATCTAATTCAAGCCTTGATAATGTAAAGAAATGCATAAAAACCCCATTTAAATATGTTAATTTCAATCCACAACTGCTTTTGGCTACCCATGTATGCACTAGGGCATGGGTTTATGAGTTCCTACTTAGATCATCCTCCATTTTCTAGACTGTCTGAGATTTCAGTCAAATAACTGTCCTGGTTTGGCTGAGACAGAATCACAGCCCAGGCAGGACATCAGCAGTTTGGAGTCAGCCAGGGCAGCTGACCTGAGTGAGCTACAGGGGTAGCCCATCCCATCATGTCATGGTCATTATAAAGGGAGAAGGGGAGCTCCTATGGGGTTCCTCCTGCTCCTCCTCTGGCTTCTCCCTTCTCCCAAGGAGTGCTCTCCTGTTGATTGTGACGGCTGGATATTCATTTGGCTGAGTATTACTCTGTGTATCTCTGTTGGTGTTGTTTCATTAACACTGTTCTCACTTCAACCCACGGGTCTGCTCCCCTTTTCCCAGTTCCCCTCCCTGGCTGGCGAGGGGTTATCATGTGATAGAGCAACTGTTCCAGTTTAGCCCCAGGTACAGGCTAAATGTAGACAAATAACTAAAGAAATTCCATTTCAAAAGCCTTACAGGAACATTGCTTTGCCTTCAAAGCAAAGGTTTGAACTTAGAAGCAACCTAAAAGTTTTAAATATAGATGAAGTTCTGGCACAGATTTCATTAAGTTAAGACAAAGGAAATGGACAACAATAAGAAAAAGAAAAACAAAAGAAAAAAAACCTGAGCCTGAAAACAATAGATTACTGAAGATAACAAGACTATTGTCTTGCATATGCACTGCACAGTCCAACAAGAAGGAAGGATATGAGAAAGCAAACTTGCAGACACCAGTATTACATACTGCCATTCCATGTCATCAACTTAACAGGTATCTCCTATCACTACTTCTATATTTAAGCCCTACTAAATCAGAAATCCTCTTAGAATGTGATCTTTTTTTTTACTACATCTTTTGTAGTTTGTTCTTGGGATGTAAAGTGTCCATCATTAATTTGATGTCCATACTCTTTTGCACTGCTTTTTATATGTGTTTTAGCTGACAGAAGAGAAACAAAATAGAAATAGAAATTGAAATAGATAACTACTTGGGCAAATGCTATTAATTTTTTAAAGATATCTGACTTTATGTTCTGTCCCCTGCCCTAACAAAAAAAGCCCCTACAAATATTTTTAGGAGAAATGGACAAGGCTGCACTTCTGCTCCATCAAATAGGAAAGTGCTACACAACAATTCATCAAAATGCAACTTTGCCACAGTGAGAATGTTTGTCACTTCTGTCTGTTCTGTATTATTGAAGTCATCTGCTAAACATAAACTCTGAAAGGGCTCCCATTTATTTCCTCCTACCTCTCAGTAAACTGGTATCTGGATACTGCTATGAAACTAAACATTTAGTCTGCTAATGCTGACTGTAGTACTTTAATTGTAATTGCCATCGCATTGCTGCTACCTCAGTTGTGAAGTTACAGACGGCAGCAGGAGGCACAATTCTATTATATTCCCAGAAACTAATGCTTCCCAAACTTTACTGGAAATCCCAACTTGCAACACAGGTCTCAGTCAAAGCCGTCTTGTGGTTTCACATAGGGTACAGAACATTTGAAAATGTCTTCCTGTCTTCTTCCTTCCCTTTGCAAAGCTGTACATGTAGATTGCAATTACTCTGGACTTACTTCAATGGGCCACTTGAGCTAAAGATTTCACTTCGACTCAGTTCTGAAATCCCATTTCCAAGGAAAACTTTGACTCCTTCAAATTCTTTGGCTCCTCTTTTACATTTCCCTTCAATATCTGAATACACCGAGACCAAATCTCCAGCTTTCATAACTGCACAAAGCAGAACACAAATTTTGAGATTAGCATGATACTTGACTTACTTCAACTACTATATCATAGCATATGTGTATATATATATATATATATACACATACATATATATCAAATGTAAACTTTCTTAATGTAATCAAAGGAAAAGAATAACTGATACTAGGCTCATAAATGTATGTGGTGAATGATGGCTACCAAGTGACTAGATATAGAGAGACACAAGGTTACAAATCAGGAGTGTGTCTTGTTTTTAAGAGGCTAGACGAATCTTCAATTTATGTATTTTATCACTGCACATTCACTCGTAAGTTTTAAGCGCACACTTCAGGATTCAGTCCTCTGTGTGTACTCCAAGCATACAAGTACATCAAACACTGCTTCACACTTACCTTACAAAGACAGTAACACTAAATTTCTCTAATGACCTCTCAATAGCTAGGTAGAACATAGCTACAGCTGCTTTTTCTCTCACTATTGCTTTGATACAAGTGATTATATATTCTTGTTGAAACAGTGTGGCTAAGGCAACTGCTGTTCTCAATAATCCTTTAAAAGCGCTTTACATCTCCAGTTAAAACACTATAGATCAATAAAGTATGTAAATGTGCACCAGACTCTGGAAGTGTAGTCCTAAGGATTTAACTTTCTGCACTACAACGAAAGTAGGTGGCAAAGGGGGGTGCTTTAGGTGATTTTGTAGAACTGTGAGCAAGCTCTGTGCACTGACTGGCTGAAAAATATGCTTAAAAATAAAGGCCTCCACTGACAGCAAAAAACAATTTTCCAAAATTATATTTCTGATACATCTAACTGGCTGGAGCAACCTGAAGATATGACAAGTAAGACTCATGGCAGTTCAGCTTCCCAAGAATTCTTTGAATTGTAGTTAGGAATCTTTTTTTCCATTTTCAAGTGGCCTTCTGAATATATACAAATGCCCTTGAATTCTTAAACTGTAGTATTTGTTGGGTAGCCAATAAACAGTTCTCTTTTTGCATAAATTCTTTTTACACAATATGTGACACAAACCATTATGTGATAGCCTACTGTTATTGTCTGCTTAACCTTCACTGAACAAAAACTTGCAGGAATTTAATTCTTCCACCAAGCCTTTTTGCAGTATTCAAACCTAAAGGATTTTATTTCACTCTGCTAATGCATTAGTCCTTTCAAAATGCATTAGTACTGTGTATAGTTCTTAAGCTTTTTGTAGCTTATATTGGCATTCCATAAACATAAAGCTTACAGTTTGATTACTTAAATTAAACTCAAAGCCTCCGATAATTAGTTTACCCTCATTTGGGTTGCAAGTACAGTGATTAAATGTGTATTCTTGCTATACTCTTCCTC